CCCTATCCCATGGCGTTATCGCCTCGGTCTCAGCTGCGCGAGAACGGGCAAGGGTATTGCGAGGCCAGTTCTGAAGCACCATAAGGGCTTGCACGGATATCGTCCCAGAGGCACACACGCCGATAAGGCAGACTTAAAACGGTGACAGTCTTGATGTTCGGCCGAAGGATACATGTTTCGTGCTCGGTGAGGGCGTCGGGTTGGGTAGTTGATTGTTGTTGCTGCTGCTGTTTTTGTTTGGCTTTGTCGGCGGCTTTTTTGGCGGGGGTGGAGGCAGGGAGGAGGAGGGATTTGGTGGGGTGGTTGGCGCCGGTGTTGAAGGTCGTGCGGTGTAGGAGGAGGTGGCCTTGGAGGGATTTCGGGTCTGGGAAGAGAGTTAGTTTTGTTTGGTCGGGGGTGAGAGATGGGGGAGAGGCCTACGCTCGGGGTCAAACTCCAGGATGTGGATGTTGCCGTCGGCGTCGCATGCTACGATAAAGAGATCCTTTCCGTCGGGCAGGAAATCCGCGTTTAGCACCTCAAGTTTGGTCGAGCTCTTCCCGAACAGCATCATCTTATACGGCTCCTCAGTGTATCCCGTGAACCACACGCCCTTGAAAGCGTCCGCCAACAGGCACAGCCCAGTCCCCGGGAGCTCCTTGGCGTTGGTGACATAGCAGTTCATGTCCATAAAGGCCACGGGTAGCAGCGTGCCGTCTTCCTTGAGACCTCTGACCATGCACTTCTGCCCTTGGGCAACCAGCATGAGACCCTGTGTGCCAATCTCAGACAGCGCGGTGACTGCGCCCCGTGGGATCTCCTCTTTTGCTATCAGCTTCAACTTCTTGCTGGTCTCCGGGCGCCCGGGCTCGGGGATGACCTCGGTGATGTCGTAGACGTAGACCCGGCCCCTAGTTGGCAGATCCTCGCCCTTGATGAGTGCGGTCCCCACGGCGATGAGCTGCTTCCGTTCGTTGGTGAATTCGGACACCTCCAGGCTCAGGGTGGCGACGCAGAGAACGGTCTCGCAGGGCTCCATTTGAACCGAGTCGACCACGGTCCACGTGATGGGGCTCACGAGCTTGAGGATGCCGCGGTCGACGGTGGGTTTAAACGATAGGTTCTCCCGTGCCCACTCCTTGTGATAGTCGTCATCCTTGGGTAGCTCAAACGGCTCGAGCGTGTTGCAGCCCACCACGTAGCTTTGCATTGGCGGGTGGTACGCGACAGCAGCGATATCCTCGCCGATAGGTATTTTCCGGACGGCAAGCCCAGTCTCGGCGTAGTTCCAATCCTGCGGCAGCTGCGTAACCCGCGCCATGTGTTGGGAGTCTGCGTAGATGAAGCCATTCTCACAGCCCTCGGTGTGGAATGGGCTCATGGCTATCACGCCTGCCCCTTGAAGCGGTAGCACCCTCGGCGCTGATTTGGATGATTTTATGATGAAACTTGGCGATGCACCGGGTAGAAAAACGGTGCTGTATCCGGCGATGTTACTGCACCTGCGCATGGATAACATCCGAGGCTGGTGTGTTGCCTCGTCCTCGTCTGCTTCTTCCGGGCTTTTGGCAAAGGCCGCGTTTGGGAGCTTCTGGAAGAATAGGGTCTTGGAGAAGTCCGCGCCAGCGCTAGTACTGTAGCGGAACGGCTGGTAGATTGTGAGGTCGTCGTTTGCATGACGGAGCTGCGACCGGTTAGCTCATGCAGAGAAGGAGTCAGGGGGTTAACGAACAATGAGATGCGGAGATTTGTGAGTCGTGTCACCGAGATCAGCCACCAGAATCTCTGCCACTGTCTCCTTTGCCGTGCCTTTGCGTGCAGAATAGTCGGCTGAGAGACCTGGGGGTATGTAAGACAATCCTTCAGCGACATAGACAGGTTTTGACAGGTCCGGAAGCCGATATATCTAATTTTTGTTAGCGTAAACCATGGCATCAAGACCGCCATGTCGTTGAACACACTCACATAGAGAGAGCCACTGGCGCTAAGAAGGAACACCAGTATGGCCTGAGCTGGTTTGCCCCCCTTTCCGGCTACCTCTTCCGCAAACGCGCCAGTCGTGTCGGCGTACAGGCAGCCGGTAAGCCACTTGGTGGTAGCCAAGGTTTGGTCCTCCTTTTCGAGCTCCTCCAGCTCGTTGCTACTGTCCATTTGGGCAACGAACACGCTCGAGTCATCCCGAATGATGAGCAGGAGAGGGTCGGCAATACTTGCACTGATAGCCCGAGGCTCGGCGCCGGTCTCTTCATCAAGCATGGGTACGATCTGGCTGAGACCGAAATCTACAAAACCAGTGTGTCAGCAGAATCACTCAACCGTAAACGTATGGCGTGGAAAACATACCTCCATCATAACATCGGACTTCAGACTTGAGCACCTGAATAATCCTACTGCCCTTGCCCATGGTCCCGGCCTCAATGGTGATGCCGGCTGCAGGGTCGAACTCGGTGCCACCGAGGCTCTCAAACCCGGCGGCGGTGAGCGCATACACGTCAGACTTTTCATAGCCGTCCAGATCCACCTTGGCGACAATCATAAACTTATCGTACTGGCCGGACACGTCGTAGTCTTTCCCGAGGAAATTCCCGCCCTTGTCACTTTGGAGCGTCTTAGGGATTGGTTTTTTGGCACACATAGTCCAGAACCCCCTCGCCTCGGGGAACTCAAAACGGCCGATAACCTTTGGTTGTATCTCGAGGTTCATGGTCACGAGAGAAGCCGACTTCTCTCTGCCCACGGCGCAGACCAGCTGTAAGTCACTGTGGACGCCGGCCGAGTTTCGTTCCTCCTCGCTCCCAGGTAGCCAGACCGGTTGACTATACGTCATGGCTTGAATGGGGCCGAGGTTGATGAGACGGTCGTGGACGCGAAGGCTAGCCTCTCCGCTCAGCAGGCCGCTCACTGCCGACACAGGCTGATGCTGCGGCGCTGAGGCTTCGCCGTACAGGTCGTCTTCGTCCTCCTCTTCCTCCTCGATGTCTTCATCTTCCTCGACGTCCACGTCCCCGGCATTGTCCTTGGTCCGGGGCTTCCTTCGCCCAACCTGGGTCTGCTTCTTAGCCCACCCAAACAATACAGAGTCGCCCTCTTCGAGCCCGGCAAACATGGCATTACGGCCAATGCGCGAGAGCGTAGAAACGCGACCAGGCACGATAGATCCCCCAGAGGATGCGGGGAGTATCTTCAGCTCCAAGCCGGAGACGGTACGGCCGTCGATACGGAGGGTCATTACGGCCATCTGACCGTCGTTTAGGATGATCAGAAGCTCGCCTAGGTCGGCGGCCAGGACGTCAATGACGCAGCCTTCTAGACGGAGGTTGAGGTCGGACTGGTCGACAAGGCCGAATGAGGTGCAATGTTTGGTCATTGGGTTGACGGCTACGCCGTTTGGCTTGCCCGACTGGTCGATGTGAATGAGCTCGTTGGACCCTACGAGCAAGGCGCCGCCAACCGGAGCGGGCAGGGGCACGACGCGGAAGAGGTCCTGAGGCAGACCAGTGACGGAGAGGATGGTGGTGGAGGCCTTTTGCTGGAGATCGAGGGTGAAGACCATGTAGACGAAATGATCCTTGCGGCCGAGCGAGTTCGAGGCGGCGGCGGTGGAGGCGAGGATGCCAAAGGTGGGCTCTCGGTACTCATGCAGGAAGGCCAGGTGCACAGGATGGAGCAGGCTTGGGTCAAGATTGGAGAGTCGGAGGACAAATGACGGTGAATATGGTGTGTCTTCTATGTTGCTAGCTCCATTTATGACGGCGCTCGACAGGTCTTTGGCCGGCCGCGGGCCGTCCAGCTCTTCATCCCAGTCACCCATGTCAATGTCCTCATCGGCCTGCTTGAAGGGCAGGATGGCCAGGTTTCTGGCACCGAACTTGAGCGCAGCACATCTACTGCCCGGGTCAGCGGCCAAGAAGTTGGCATAATGACTCAATGGGGCTGCCCAGGGGCTTCCTTGGAGTTCTTCCTGTTCGTAGTAGTGGATGGATACGGTCGATAAGGTGTGATGTTCCGTGTCCCACTCGACGAGACTGAGCTTTGCGTCCTTAAATGCAAGCAAAAGCGAGTCCAGACCGAGGCGCGCGTTTGGTGTCTTTATCCTAACAAGCCCCGTCACCGTGCCCGCAAGCGGAAACTCGGCGACGAGGACCAGTTTCGTGTAGTTGGCACGATCGGTCCGTTGTGCTAGGCTATCACCGCCAAGGAAGGATGCTTCGAGGCCATCGTCATCGTTGGCTAACCGGCTTTCATATCGATTCGCATTTCGTGTCCGGTGGCCGTTATTTTGCGATGTGTCGAGTTCGGTCGCAATAACCTTTGTTCGAAATATTTGGAGGAGAGACGACTTGGCGACGGCGAGGTTCGTGCCTTGCCCAGGGATAAATTGTAGTGTCGTCGAATGCGTTACGGCCGTCGGCGGCGTCAGCTCTGTATAACACTGCATTGCATACACTCGGTCCGCATATCTCTCCTTTAAAAAGCAAGACGTACGTTAGCTCGAAGTTGCTGTAAGAAAGTTGGATTGTTGTTGGGTTGTTTCGTTGAAGCTTTGAACAAGCTGCATCTCTGAAAGCAACTGATTGGCCGTTGCCAGGAGACGGGCCAGGCCCGACCCCAGAAGCTCAGACCACTCCAAACCCAATGGAAGCACCCGATGCGATGCTGCCCCACCAAAGGCGCGAGCTTGGCTCACTGGTGTTTTACCCTGCCGTTCATGCGGCATTGCGTCACAGCCAGATGAACCCTCCTGGCGAGGTCCCCTCTCACCCGAGTGCATTCCTTCCCTGCTTCCCTACCTATCCTTTCAAGCCACTTTCAAACCTCAAACCTGCCTGTAACATGTCCCTGCTTCAACGACCTACCGATTGAAGCTGTCGCATTCATATTGCAATAATTTCGACAGTTTGTTCGACAATTCGCGCCCTAACAGCTTCTCATTCAACATAAGCCATCAAGACCTCGTTTCAGAGGCGACGAGCCCGGCAAAATGGCACCAGCAGGTCTCCTGCAGACCAGTCTGATCTGGGTCGCATACGGTGTTGCTGTCGCCCTCGTTCTGCTCGTCTCCGTCATCACCACCCTCACCTGGCAGACACCTCACGAGCGGTCCATTGCCGTCAGCATCGTCTCCATCATCAGCCTTACCGCGCTACTCGCTACCGTCTTCCTCCTCCCTGTCGATATCGCCCTCGTCTCATCAACCGCGTCAGCTCACCTTGGCGCAAAGAAGGACTGGGCCACCCCCGGCCGCGTTGATGGAATTCTTCTGACGCTCAAGATTGTGTACTACACACTTTACACGCTCGATGCGCTGCTATGTCTGATCGTCATACCCTTCACCTACTTCTGGTTCGAGGAATACGATGAAGTCGAGGAGGAAGAAGGGACCAGCAGCGCGGCCGCTCGCATCTGGCGGGCCCTGAAGTACACGCTGGGTTTTGTGTTCCTCGTGGTGATCCTCTTCCTCATCGGCTTCTTCGTACCGGCCGCTGGCAATAACCCCGGAAAGCACATGGATCTGGACTACTTCAAGCGCCTACTCGCCGCGAACAATGGGGAGAAGGCGCTCACCTTTGGTGTGGGTTTGCTCATCACCCTTGGTACCCTTCTCTACATCCTATACACGAGCGCCGGCTTAGCTCTGCTCCCGGTGTCGTTCATAAAATCCGCCCCGTCCATCTCGGCCCCGCAACTCTCGGCAACCACCGCCTCGGCCCTAGAGCACAACCGCGAGCTACAGAGACAGCTGGAGATGCGCAACTCCGGTCGCCCGGAAGGCATGTCACAAAAGGACAGGAGGGAGATGGACGCTCTTTTGCGTGAGGAGCGGACCCTTGTGCGCCGTGAGAGGTTGGCGGCCGAAGCGCGCGGGGACAACCGTAGCAAGATCTATCGGGCCTGGACCAAGGTTGAAGCAGTCTTCCGGCCCCTGAAGCTTCTCGGCGGTATCTTCTTGCTTCTGCTCGCCATTCTCATCTGGGTGTCGATGCTCATCACGGGCATCGACAAGGCCGCCAATTCTATCTGCAAGCAGCACTGCGGCTACATCCTCGGCCACCTCAACGTCTTCCAACCCATCAATTGGATCTTCGTCCAGTCCGCCAAGGCCTTCCCCGTCGACTACATCCTCATGGCACTTCTCGTGCTCCTCTTCTTCAGCAGCTCCATCACGGGCCTGGCCACCATCGGCATCCGCTTCCTATGGGTGCGCATCTTCCAGCTCAAAAAGGGCCGCACGGCACCGCAGGCGCTGCTCATCGCGACGGTGCTGCTGGGCCCTCATGATCCTCGCCATCAACTACGCGGTCGCCATGCTCGTGGCGCCGCAGTACGCCATCTACGGCACGCAGACCTTCTGCGTCAACCCGCCGCGGCTACCCGGGCGAGCAGCCCGACTGCCGCGAGCACCGCGACATGGTGCGCCCCTGCTCCGAGGCCTTCCGCGAGCCCCGCCGCCATAGGACGTCTGCACGCCGACCGTCATGTCCACCTTCCTCAACCGCGTCCACCCTCAAACTGGCCCCGTCTTCGGCGCCCGTCGACTTCTGGGCCCAGTTCGTCTTCCTCGCCGTCTTCCTCGTCGTCTTCGTCACCAGCCTCTTCCCGCACCCCGCGCCTCAACCTCAGCGAGCTCGACGAGGAGGCCGAGGTCGATGAGAGAGGAGGGCCTGCTGGCCCAGCACCGGCCGCCGCTTTGGCGCGACCTGGGGCGATATCACCGGCCGCGCCAAGAAGAACACCCCCGCGCCGGGCCAGGAGGGTTATGGCACGGCGGCTGGGCACGAGAATGGGGGTGGGTCGGGCGCGAGGGGTTAAGCTTAACGGTGGTGCGGCAACGGAAAACGACAAAAAGGAAAAAAAAAACGGGACTTGGGTTTGGGCTTGGGTTTGGGAATGGGAATGGCAAACTGACTGGCTGGCTGAATGAATCGGGCACCCGATGGCTCGGAATCGGTATCTGACTACGTCGCCGAGATTGTACAAGTACTACTTTGGAGTGGACCGGTGTGGTGGGTGAGACGTGGCGGAGTTCAATGGGTCGTTTTTCGCTTGGGTTCGCATGGCATGGCAGGGCATGCAACTGGTCGCTGGGAATTATGAAATGATGTCTTACTGGCCAGGGATACGCTGGATGATTGCGGGTTTACGGTTGGAGTTGTCGAGGGAATGTTGTGGCTTTGTCATCTGTATCAAGTCAAGCGCGTATTTCGTATATTGGGCGTCTGCTAACTACGGTGTTTTCTTTCGATATCCAATTTGATGCGCTAAAACTTTCATGACATGATATGATTTAACCGTGTGTGTTGATCATTCACATTTCGGCACCTTAAGCCAACCCCCTTCTCTCCAGCCCCCAGCCCGCCCCGGGGTTACGGGTACACGAACAGAGGGAAACACAAGCAGGGCCCATAAGCTCCCTAATAGGCTTACTTGGGGTATTGGTATGCATGTAAAAGGGCTAAAACAGGCCGAAACCCGGCCTCTCGAACTTCTCCCACTGGTGTCCCCGCTTCCTCGTACCCAGGGGGCCGACTGGCCTGGTGTGCATCTCGCCGCCAGCAGCCCCGCCGGCGCAGTATCCGTCGCCGTCGCCAAGCCCGGCGCACGCGACCCGTCCGCGGGGTCCGGGTCCAGGCAGAGACCCACACAACCCCCCGTACCCCGTCTTTTGGTCGGCATCCGTGTACTTGCTCGACCCGCCCAGCCGCTGCTCCCCCGTGTTGCCGGTGCGGTCTTGCGGCCGGAACTACCCAGCCGACGGGACTGTGAGTGGGTCGGGCCAGCAGGTGGGTGGGTAGCCGTCTCCGTCGCAGCCGGCGCACGCGACCGTCGCGTCGTCCAGAGCACACCACGTCACCACGTCTTTTGGTCGGCATCCGTGTACTTGCTCGACCCGCCCAGCCGCTGCTCCCCCGTGTTGCCGGTGCGGTCTTGCGGCCGGAACGTCGGCGCCGAGGGGAGGCCGAGTGGGTCGGAGGCGGAGGTGGGTGGTCCCAGGCCTCGGAGGGAGGCCATGCGCGCTGCGAGGTCCTGCTCCAGAGCGTCCTCGTCACCGTGAGGGTCCGGGGCGGGGTCTACGAGCTGTGAGGGGACGGTGGGAAGAGTGATGGGGGCTTCTTCGTCGCCGTCTTGAGGTGTTGCTGTTGAGGGTGGCGGTAGTGAGTTTATCTCATCGCGTATTTGTGAGAGGAGCGTATCGACGTCGCGCGTCATTTGTTCCCCGTCCGAGTTATCATCATCGTCATCACCTTCTGTGTTGCTCGGCCCGTTTGATGCCGGACCCCCGGCTTTCTTTCCCAGTGTTTCAAGCAGATCAGATACCCTTCTTGCCTCGTCCCGGGGATCCAAGTCAGGGGGCGGCACCGCATCCTCATCTGCGGCAAGGTCGAACTCCTCGTCTCCCAGGGCGCCTAAAAGCTCATCCAGGGCTTCTTCGTCGGCCGCCTCGAACTCGGCAGAACGAATTGGGGGCCGTTTTTGAGAGTGGTCTTTCGGCCCCTCTGGTGCCGGGGATACCCGTTTGGTCCCCCCCTCTTTGGGCGGCGGGCTTCCGGGGGGCGGTGCTCCTGCGCTGGCTCCATCCCGGCTACTGCTGCTCGATTGACTCCGAAGAATGCGGAGCCGTGCAGCTAAGGCATCTTCCTTTGAGCTTGGTTGGGCGTCTGCTACAGGGAGGATTGCAATGCTTCTCGCACGTGTCTTAGCCCGATGCGCTTCACTCATAAGGTACTACACGAGAACAGCGGCATGCCGGATGCCATGCTGTCAAGGACGGGGCAGTTATTACTTTGCTGGCTTGTCAAGTGTGACGCCTGTGGACTTGAGGGCATTCAGCCTGTCCAGCAGGGACTGATCACTGGGTCGAGAGGGTTTCATGATGGTCGCACAATAAAATTTATTTGAAAGCGAACAATACGGAAAAGAAAGCCGCGGAGAAAAGAAACCGATTTATCATGGACGGGCGTCTTGATAGGTGTCCTTGAAAGCGGGTGCGATTGGTGTGGTGAGGTTGGTCGGGCGAATGGGGCAAGGCACACCACAAGGCATCCCTCAGATCCAAATCAGGCAGGCTCAGCGGGTCGACGCAGGGTCAAACCGTCACCATTTCTGGGGTGCGTGTGGAGCGTGCTGCTATTTCAGTTACCATTGGTTGATTCAGGGGATTGCAGATCGAGATGGAGTCATTACTCAGCCACAAGTGGAGTTCCTGCAGTGGTGGTCGGGTGCCGTGGCGCCGCCCTACCAGTTTTCTGGAACCAATCCATACAGCCGTCAGGCAAAGACTGCCCGTTTGCTGTGGCGTTTTCTGCGGTAGGTTAAACAACGAGCAGCGGGCATGAATCAATTGGGATCATCAACCGCAGCCATGTCATGCCGCTTTCGTTCCTCTCCAACGAAGTCGCTATACATAGCACAATCACACAAGGCGCACACCGACTGGTATGTTTGTGGCTTTGTGCTAAGACCATGAAGCTAGGGCCTTTTCAATAGACAGGTTTCGGGCGAACCTGACAGCATCAGCGGCTGAGCGAAGGTGCCTGACGGATCCTGGAAACTGTAACTAAAACAAGCGAGGATGAAGGTTTGGTCCCATGTCATCATGGATGACTGAAAATTCCGTCACATGGAAGGTCTCTCTTGGCACACGCACAGGCTAACCACACTCTGCGGGAAACAAGCAGAGAGACCTGCAGCAAAACTGGGGAAAGAAAGAGGCGTTTTCCTATATCAATGCAGCATCCCCGTTTGCGCGCTGCTCATTCTCGCCATCTTCCATTTTACACAGGACGCACGACCTGCACACCTGGCATTGCAGCATCTCCTCCTTGCCTGCGCACCTAGCATTTGGCCCTCTGATCCTGTTATTAGCTCTTACCTTCTACAAACGCACATCATGAAGTTGTCGTCCTTCTTCTTCGCCGCGACGCTATTCAGCGACGTCGCGGTCGGCACACTTGTCGCGCCAAAGCCGGTTCCCGAGCTCGCAACACACCAGCCGCTGCAGAACACGGGGCGCGACGAGTCATCGAGCGAGGAACTGTGGAAGCGTAAGGGTGGCGGCGGCGGCGGCGGTCGCGGCGGTGGTGGTGGGCGCGGTGGCAGTAGCGGTGGTACGACCGGTGGGGGCGGACGTGGAAGTTCGGGATCGTAAGTATAAATGTTCTCTCTCCTTCGCATGCTTTCAATTCCTTACCAATGGCCGCCTTGGAATGAGCAGGACTATTGGTGGTTCCGGCTCCAACGGTGATTCCGGTTCGAGCACGGGATCCGGCTCTACGGGGGGCACAGGCAGCCGGGGCGGTTCCAATGGCGGAACCAGCTCCAGCAGCAACAGCCGCAGCAGCAGCAGCAGCGAGCCCTCTCCTCCAGGGCGGTGGGTTTAGGTTTTTTTTTTTTTTTTTGGCGTTTGATAGTATATATTTTGTTTGTTCGCAACAGTTGCTAACATTACATCCAAGTGCTGGCCGAAACACACCTACTCCAGCCTACGGTGGCGGGCGATTTTACGGCGGCGGTGCGGCCAAGCCGTACAAGGCCGGCGGTCGGACGCCGTCGGGCATTGCTCCTGTGTTCCTCGGCGCTGGCCTCCTGGCCTTCTGGCCCGGCGTGTGGCTCTACGGCGCGCACAGATACCACTTTGAACACCCCTACACGTTCTACAACTCGACCACCCAGAGGAACGAGAGCAAGCCTGTCGACTGCGCATGCTCCCCCCGAGGCGACTGCGGCTGCGACGAGAACCCCGACAAGCAGTATCTCGATTCACTGATCGGCGACGGCAGCTACCAAAACCTCAACAAGTCGCTGATCAACGTCGCCGACGTGAACGGCAAGAGCACCATCTTGCTCAACGGCACGCTGCCCGAGGGGACCGCTGACGCGTTCAACAACGGCGCCGGTGACGGCCTGCGCCAACTGGCCCGCCACGCTGGCTGGTGGCCCCTTGCGGCGACTATTGGCGCCATCGCCTTCACGATATAAGGATCGACAGGGCCGGTTGTGTTTCCGGATTGCATTTGCGACTGCTTTTTTGCCCCCCAGCACCTTCATCTTGGTTCTGGTTTTTTTTTGGAGATGATGATACCACTGAACACGGGCGGCGTTTCGGAGCAAAACTCATGAATACCTCATCGTTGCGCCTTGATTTAGAGATTGGCGACCCGTACTCTAGTATCATGCTGAGCGGGCAGCAGCGGACAGTGTAGATAGGTAGTTTGATAATGATTAGTGTAACGTTATGACCCCACTGCTCGTGTGATTTGGTGGTTCTATGAAGGGTGGATTATTCAACGATTTGAATCATCTACAGGTTAGTTAGTGATTGTTTCGGCCTTCTCATTTATCTTCAGCCGTTTCGGTAGTCGCATCAGGAGTACCACTGGCAGCACCACCGACAACACCACCAGTAACACCACCACCAACACCACCACCAGCAGCAGCCCTGTCAACCCTCCTCTCCACAACCCAATCCCCCAACTGCTTCCATATCTCCTCCTTCTCCTTCGGCTTCAGCGTCGCCGCCAACCCACTCGTACTCGACGCCACAAAGATCCTCGCCCCCTTCCAATCCGGACTATACACCACCCCCTCCTGAACCTCCTCCTCCTCCACCCCCTCGGGCACCACAACCCCCATATTCTCCCCCGCCTCCTGCCACCCATACCGAAACTCATGCGCCTTGATCCCCCTCCCATGCCTCACCCGCCACAAACTCTCCCAGATACTCTTCCCCACCACGCACACTGCCTCAGGCCTCCACCTCCTCACCTTGGCCTCCAACACCGCAACCCCGGCATCCATCTCCGCCTTACTCAACTCGGCCCCATTCCGACTCGGCCGCGAGACGATGTTCGTCAGCCCCAGCGAGTACAGCTCGGGCATGCGGCGGTCCTCGGCGGGCGCGCACCGCCGCGGCGTGACCCCGGAGCTGTGCAGCAGCCGCCAGAAGTGGTTGGACGGGTGCGCGTAGGCGTGGCCCGTGCGCGCCGTCTCGATGCCCGGGTTCAGCCCGATGAAGAGCACGAGCAGGTTGGGCGCGATGGCGTCGGGCAGGTGCGGGAGGTGAGCGTAGGTGGAGGGCGGGGCGTAGGAGGCGCTGGGGCGGGCGCGTTTGGAGGGGGATTTGCTGGGGGATTTGGAGGTGGTGGTTTTGGGGCCGTTGTTGGAGGGGGGGTTGTCGTTGTCGTTGCTGTCGGTGGGGGCTTTGCGCTTGGATGATGGGGAGCGAGAGGCCGGCCGGGGTGGTGATGGTACCGGGAGTGTGGCGGTTTCCTCGGTGGAAGCTCCCGCGGTGAAGCGTGGGCTCCGCCGCCGACCGCCGGCCGCTGCACCGCCGTTGAACATGTAGGTGTCGAGCTTGAGACGGCCCTCAAAGGACGGTGTTGGGAGGTTGTCTTCCTGGGTATTGGATGACATTGCCGCACGTTGGTTGGTTGATCAAGGTCTCAAAAAGGTGGGATTCTGACTCTTTAGCTTGCTTTTTTGGCCAAATGAAGTCTGTACAAAGCCAGAGGCTATCAGTCCGTTGAGCGGTCAGAAACAGCATGGGTTTTATAGAGAAAAGCCGAGGTCATCGCCATCCGAACTTCTCCAGGGGTATATTTTGCCTTGCCGTCAACAACCCCTGGATCCCAGTGGCCAAAATGAGGCAGCAACGCGCCACCGGCAACTAGCGTCGTGTTACGGGTGAACATCCTCCCGATTCGAAGCTTGTCTTGTGGGTTTTTGATTTGATAAACTGTAATTGGGTATGTCTGCCTAAAAGTATCTCCCTCTCTTCCAACAACAACCACAACCTTCGTGATGCGCCCAGATCTGCAAGTTGTTGTTTCTTGGTTTCGGAAACATGCAATTGAAGGTGCCTCAACATCCGGCACTTCAGACCGCCCCTGCCATTCTGTCGAATGAGAAGCCGAGCCTGCCGCACACGGTGGATCTTGACTTGTCTCGGCGGGGTTCAACAGTTGAAGTGGCGCATCTGGCGCGGACGGCGGGGCAGTCCTGGGCTGGAAGTGGGCTGTGGTTGCTCGGGATCTATATCGGGCGGGATCTGGGCTCCTCTGCTGTTGTCTTGCCGAGCCTACCTCGTGTTATTGTGTTGGGCTTCAAAAGGATCCCGCCTGCTCTTAAGAACGTGTTTTGTCGTTTTTCTTCTCTTGATCATTTCTGCATCTTCCATCTTACCAACGCAACGCCAATTGCAAAAAGAGTAGTGTTTTGCAGCACTTTTTAATTGTTTAATTGCCGTTCGCACACTACGAAATGGAGAAGGTCATGCAAGCTCTGAACCTGGGGGGTAAGGATGCCCCGCAGGAACCAACACCCCAGGAGCTGTCCGAGCTCAAGCAGAAGTACACCCTCGCCGGGCAGAGCCAGGTGTTTACTTTCTACGACTCCCTGTCCAGCGCCGAGAAGGCGTCACTATTTCAGCAACTGTCACTCTTCGACCCCACGTACATCAACGAGATTGACGCCAAAGCCCGTTCCCCTCCCAAGACCGAAGATGGCGGGGTCGCCAAACCCTCGCTCGAGCCCCTCCCAGACTCGGCCCGCGCCAGTATCATGGACTCCAAGAAGGAGGACATTGATCGCTGGTATGCCCAGGGCCTCGACCTGATCGCCGCGAACAAGGTCGGTGTCGTGCTCATGGCTGGTGGCCAGGGCACACGGCTGGGCAGCTCCGCACCCAAGGGCTGCTTCGATATTGGCCTTCCTTCCCACAAGTCCCTATTCCAGATCCAGGCCGAACGCATTCGCAAGGTCGAGGAGCTCGCCGCCAAGAAGGCTGGCACTGGCGGCAACGTCACTGTTCCCTGGTACGTCATGACGTCCGGGCCGACCCGCGGGCCTACCGAGGCGTACTTCAAGGAGCACAAGTACTTCGGCCTGAAGCCTGAGAACGTCGTCATCTTTGAGCAGGGCGTCCTCCCCTGTATCTCGAACGAAGGCAAGATCCTGCTCGAAAGCAAGGGCAAGGTGGCCGTGGCACCCGACGGCAACGGTGGTATCTACAACGCCTTGGTCGAGTCCAAGGTGCTGGATGATATGAAGAAGCGGGGCATTGAGCACATCCACGCCTACTGCGTGGACAACTGCCTCGTCAAGGTGGCCGACCCCGTCTTCATTGGTTTCTCTGCCTCGGCGAACGTCGACATCGCTACCAAGGTCGTGCGCAAGCGCAACGCCACCGAGAGCGTCGGCCTTATCGTTTGCAAGAACGGCAAGCCTGATGTTGTCGAATACAGCGAGATTGACCCGGCCGTCGCTGCCGAGGAGGACCCCAAGCAGCCCGGCGTGCTCAAGTTCCGCTCTGCCAACATCGTCAACCACTACTACTCGTTCCGCTTCCTCGAGACCATCCCGGAGTGGGCCAAGACGCTGCCGCACCACGTCGCCCGCAAGAAGATCCCCTATGCCGACCTCGAGACTGGCGAGACGGTCAAGCCCACCAAGCCCAACGGCATCAAGCTGGAGCAGTTTGTCTTTGACGTCTTCCCCATGCTGGACATGAGCAAGTTCGCCTGCTTGGAGGTGCGCCGTGAGGACGAGTTCAGCCCGCTCAAGAACGCGAGCGGCACTGGCGAGGACGACCCCGAGACGAGCAAGTACGACATCATGGCCCAGGGCAGGCGCTGGTTGGAGGCCGTGAGCGGCGTCACTATTGTCAGCGATGACTTCAAGGCTGGGATCGAAGTGAGCCCGTTGAGGAGCTATGTAAGTCGTCTTTACGAAATCCTTGTTCTTTCAGCTGTGCTAACAGTCGCTCCAGGGTGGCGAAGGTCTCGAGAACGCTGTTTCCAAGGACAAAACCAAGACTTTTGTAGCCCCTGCCGTCTTGGAGGTGGAATAAGGTATCCGCTTCGACGGGAGCATTTGGATTGGAGTACCTTTCACGATCGAAGATCCAAGAATGGGACGACGATCCGGGTCAGCAAAAAGGGACTGCTTTGGTACTTCGGCCCAAACGTGATGTAGGGTTGTGATCCCATTGGGATAGCGGCTGGTTCGGAATCAATTTAGGATTACACCCTGAAAAGCCGCATTAGTTCCAAATCATGAAAAATAGCGCCCATGATCTATTGAACCGAGAGCAAACGGTACTGCCCAAAGACCTCGGTCTATCAAGTCTAGAAAATCCCAGCTCCCTGACCTGTCTATGACCTGTCTATAAAATCATCCTCCCAACCAAACCAAACCACCCAGTTTATCCAACCAGCAGGCCCCCTCATCAACAATCAAGCAGCCCGCTTCTCCTTCCTCTCCTTCTCCTCCTCCTCCACCACCTTCCCCTTATCCCCGGCGCTATTCAAAAAGCTCAGATAGCAGTTCCACCCAATACTAATCACATTGACAAACAGCAGCCGGTGCTGTAGCGGCATGAACTTGAAGTTGACCATCTGCACAAACGGCCAGATCATCCAGTTGGTCAGCAGCGCCTCCGAGTAGCTGCGCTGCAGCTTCTCGCTCGGCGACGTCCCCTCCAGCACCGCCATGCTACTCAGGAACACCCCGATGAACGTCGGCGCGAACACCCCCTGGTCCACCGCCACGCGCGCGAGCATGGTCGCGTTGGGGGAAGAGAGGTTCACCCGTGCCGAGAGGAACTTGAACCAGGTTGCTGCGGCGGGGCCGAAGACCACTATTTTTTGGAGGGCGGGAACGGTCAGTTTCGTGCTTTTTAACTAAGGTAGTAGGTCCTCTCGCGAGTTGTGGTTATAGGTTGGGTTAGTAAAACGTACCTCCGCCGTAGAGCGCCATGCGCCCTGTGCGGGCGAGGTCGTGCTTCTCAACGCCTTTCTTGTCGACGAGTTGCTGGGCTGTGATGTCGCCCACCGCGAATAGCACCGAGGTGGTGATCGCTTGGGTGAGCAGCGGCCGGGCCGCGAGGCGGGCTTGGTACCTGGGTGGGCGGGTGTGTTAGCTTCTTAGTTATGTACATATATACATTTGTTCTTGTGTCTTGCTTGGGTCATTGTTTGGGGGTTGCGCCGGGCCAGGTAGGGTGTGTGTCCTCGCTTACCATCGTAGCATTTTTCTTGTGTGGATTTGGGTGTTGTGAGAATGTGAAGAGTTCTCAAGGTATACTTAAAAGATAAACCGTTGTAAAATGTAGTTCGGGACTGGGTTGGGCCGGGATGTGATGTGTGGCGATTGCGATTTTTACAACAGTTTTCAAGTTTCACAAGAACCTTCGCCTCGGTTTTCTTGTTGTATACACAATCGGTGATTGGATGATAGTTTGACTTCTTCCACAGTTCAGTAGAAACCTTGATGGCAATCGTTAACTAAATCACAACTCAGCCACACACACACACCCACAAGGGCTTTCCTTGATCGACGCTGGCTCGTTTCGTGGTCCAATTCCATCTCAGCAGGGTTCTATGTTCACGGGACCTGCTGAAAATTGGGCCCCAGGCCCAAAACTGCAAGTCCGACAGGGTGGTTTCAGGGGATCCGGGTCTCGGCTTGCCTGGCGGTGTGGCGCCTTTGTGACGTGGGGGGTTTCTTGTGAGATTTCTGTGAAACAAGCATTGATAAACTCGAGGCCACTTCCAATGACTGATTGATAAGCATATCAAGTACATACACAACACACAACGCACAACACACACCTCCATCAACTCCTGACGCGGAGAAATACATAATGCAAAGTGGATCTCCATTCCTAGAGGGTGTGCCCTGGAACCTCGACTTGCTTCATTAGCATACATCATCATGATTTGCCCTGCCCGCACTGTTTGCCTTGCTTCCGGTGTCCCCAAGTCCCCAAGTCCGATCTCATCAAGGGATCCCCCCTCCCCACCCAAACCCCCCGTGCCTCAACCCCGACGCGAACCTTCACCCCTGCAATCTTACAGGTTCGATAGTAGGTATTCGACCGCGCCTTGGACACTACCACCGCTACGACGAAGCGCCGTCACGTTGCTGTCAAAGTCGAAGAAGCCCATGTCGTTCAACTGGCGCAACTGATCGGCATAGCGCTCCTCCGGGGGCCTGTTGTCGGCCGGCGGCGGCGGTGCTGCAGCCGCCCCCGGCCCGCCCATCCCCCACATCTGTGCCAGTTGCTGCATGGCTTCAGGTGAGATAGGCGGGAGCCCAAACGGGTTGTTGGCATTCGCAGCCGGGGCGCCAGCGCCGGCGCCTCCGAACAGCGCGCTGAAAGGGTTGGCCGCTGGCGCAGCGCCTCCTGTTTGACCCGCTTGCGCACCACGATCCTCGGATGGAGCGCCGGGCTGGGCGGGAGCTGCAGGGGTTTGCCCCGTTGCGCCCGCTCCGCCGCCGAAACCACCGGGTCCCATCATGCCCAAAAAGGGAGCGAAGGGGTTTGCGGCACCTGAAGCGAACGGGTTAGCAGCGCCTCCAGCGCCGCCAAAGAGAGCCCGAAGTTGCTCCTCGTTGCTGTTGTTACCCGCCCCCGCGGGCGCCCCAGTCCCTGCCGCACCAGCTGGTGTATTGTCTGTAGCGCCGGGAGCCGGGAAAGAAGCGTCCCCACCGCCATGCAGCGCCCTGCGCATCCTTGCTGCCATACGGATAGCCTCCGGGTTTGTCATCATATCGCGGAATGCTGGGGACTGGAGCATCTCGCGAGCATTAGGCAGATTAGCCAGCTGCGGGTTCGAGCGGATCATGTAGTCGACAAAGTTGGGGTTGTTTAGGGCTTCGTTCATCGTTTGCGCGACCATCGGGTTTGAAAGCATTTCGGCTATTTGGTCCTCGCTGGGCGGTGCGCCCATCTACAAGCACGAGTTAGCAACGCAAACGTTGAAGCGCCTCACACGGCCGGCAAGACGGTGAGAGAAATGGAAGGAGAAAGTCTTACCCCACCATCTGCGCCAAACATATCGGCACTCGGTAAGTTGATATGACCAGCGAACCGAGCGCCCGTAAGGCCTGCGAGGGGGTCGCCGGCGATGGAACCGGCAGCCATGTTTTGCGGGACTGCGGCGGGGGCCGGTGCCGAAGCTGCACTGCTAGCGGCGGGGGTCGCGTTGCTCCGAGCGCTCTTGACCATGTGAATTGTGTTCATGTTCTTGATCTTGTAGACACTCAGGGCATCGGAGTCCTTCATGATGCGGCCCGAGTAGATCAGCCGCTGTCGGTCGGCGGGGATATCCTCGAAATCGGTGCCGGCCAGCTTGGTCTTCAGGTCGAGGACGGATGCCGACTCATCCATAGTGATGGTGTGCGTCTTATCATTGGAGCTCTTCACCTTGAAGGTGACCTGGGCATCGCTGCCCGCCTCAGCGCTGTCTGCCATGACTGCGCAGCAGGGAGCGGGATCCGTGACGTGATTGGGGAGGAGGGGTGACGCGGCGGTTGTTGTGTCCCGTTCGGATCGGTCGAGAAATCGAGGCAGAAAAGCGATGTCGCTGGGAAATGGCGCCTCCTTACGCTATTCTATGAGCACGGGTCTTTGGTTGATGAGGCGTTGGTCTGGGAGGTTTGGTGGAACGCTGATGATGTTCGTGGAATTGCCAAGCCAGAGAGGGAGGCCGCAGCTGGAGTGCCGGGAGGGCGGGCAGTTCAACTCCAGGCAGCGGGGAGGAGATTAGATAAGAGGGGCTTAAACAACTCTCGCATGTGCCATGTCATGTCAAGATACTTCCCTAAGGCAACTCACGTCTCGTTTTTAATTCATTCAAGACTATTAGCTCGTAAATTCTTTCCGATTAGTTAATATTTTTTTCGAAAATCGCTGCGCAAGTTTGACGGCCATGGAAGCGGAAGGACATACTCATACATACCATACCGCACATACCGTGCAGTGCAAGCTGCCCATACAAGATGCGGTTTAGCACGTATTCGCCGCAGGGACGGCCTACATGAACTCAAGTGGTTAGTTAGTTAGTTGCCCTTTCTTACCACGAGAAAGGAGCCCGCAGTAATCTAAATGATAGAGTACTGGGAATGGTCCTTGAAACAGAAACAAACATCCATGAATCCCAATACCCGTGGATCCCCAAAGTCGCCTCCCTATATATTCGTACGTCCGTCCGTACGTTCCAATGTTACGCTCATCGGGGGCCTGGTCATACGGCCCGGCCCACACCACCGGTCCGTGATCCGAACAGCGGCTGAGAAAACAACGGAAGCAGAATTCGCCGCCGCAGTGTTACAAGGATATACCCTGCCGTGAAACCACCGATCGGCCCCACGGCGACGTTGTTCTAGCGGCCTACCCCAACCCGCTCTTTCGCCGTCGACGAGGACGGCCATTCATCAACTAATGAGAGCCGGTTCTCGGTCCCGACGAGCGAACCGCCAATACGGAAACGCCAACCACGCGTTTGATCCCCGGAAGCTGGAGGGGTTGACCACGACGCTGTTGGAGCCAAGTCTGTGGTACACCAAACTCGCCCATCAAACCACAAACGGCAACTGCCATTCGTCAATCCTCGTTTAGTTATTCTTTTGTTGCGTTTTTTCGGAGCGACGATGTGGGAGTACGAAGGTAAAGCCGAAGGAAGAGATCAACAACGACAATCGGGGAGGGCAACAACCAGACAATTCCGCCGAGAAGACGACGACTGAGGCTTTAGAGGCGGTAGGGTTCCTTTGAACAGGTACTTCGTCCGTATGTCCTTGGGCTTTCAAGCGCCCAACGTCCTGGTCATGAATTATTCACTGCTCCTGCAGGGACGAACTCGTCTGAGTCACCACAACGGCGTCTATGGTCTCAGGCCGCCCTGGCAGGTACCAAAATCAAGGCACGCTCGCTTTTCTTTTTTTTTCTGAGACAAATTTTTCATTGCCAGTGTGCCATCACCGGCCACGTGGGGGGCTGAGACAGGGTGTTGAGGAAACAGTCTCCCGTGTCGGACACTCTTGTAGGGCGTGCGAGAGAGCGGATCGACGACGCAAGGTGTGCGCAGTGGTATCTGGCTGCCCTGCGCTGGCATTGGGTCATGGCCGGGCTGCTGGCCACATGCATGGGATGTTACGCCTTGCAATTACGGATCGAGCAGCCTCGCCGGGCCGGACAACGGGTCGGTGCCCAGCGGCCCCGAAACGGGCCTGATGCGCGAACACCATCACCATCCTTGCTACCCAGCCCTACCGAGCTTTAGGGGTTCGGAAGCGTTCTAACAAAAGCATGGAACCGGCTGGCGATTGGGGATGGAGTTAAGGGGTGCGTGTCTGTGTCGAGCTAGAAAAAAAATGAGGGTGTCTCACCGCCCCCATCGTAAACTTGAAGCTCTCTTTGTGTGCGGGCATGACGATTAAGTCGATCTCGAGATGCTCGCCGCGGGGCATTGGGGGTCCTCTCGCCCTATCATGCCCTCGGCACCCCTGCGTGGACTGTGGATGACTTGCAGGGCCAAGAATTACTAGGGCTGTCGCACCAAGTTGGGCTGGACGAAAATCTTCTTGTTGTCAGGCGGTCATCTGCCCTCTTCGAAATGCGTCCAAGCCGATTCATCGGATGCCTGGCATATCACAGTTACACGAGGCGGCAGGGGTCAATGTCCTCATTTCCTCACCCCCTTCAGACACCCGTCCTGCTTTCTGATTGCAGGAAATGAGAGAAAGCCCACTCGACGGGGAGCGAGGGAGTTGACGATGATGGCGTTGGAGGTGAGGGGCAGGAATGGGAATGGAGCGCGGGGTGATGAGGGGCAGAGGGGCAGAGGGGCAGAGGAGCAAAGGACCAAAGTATTATTCTGGAAGCCGGCTCCCTCCAAGCCCCGCCTGCCCTATTTTACCTGCCTGCCCACGAAGAAGGTACCTGCCCTCCGTAGGGGTGACGGGCCCGGACTCACAGACGAGGTTGCCATGTGGAAGCCACAATGGGGGTTTGATGAGGTGGCAGTTCCTGCCTTAGCTGAAGGTGATTCTGGTTCAAGTTTCTTCTTTTAGGTTCCACCGCTGCAAATCCGAGTCTAAGCCTGGAAACTTCACCCCCAAAACTGCAATTCGCTGCTTTGCTGCGTTGGCAACGGCCGTTTACCTATTCCAACAACCAAGACGCACGCCGCCATTGAGGCAACCCGACCATCCCCAGACGTTGGACCCCATTAGCCGATACCGACTGACGAGGATCAGGGTCTCGTCATAGCATCCACCGGGCCCAATGGCACGGCGGGTAGGTCACTGACCACAACTTTGTTTTCCTTTTACAGACTTGGCGAGCCGTTCAGAGCTGCCGGCCTTTCCGTGTTTGTTTATCCTTGGTGGTGTGTTGGGTGCCACATATCGAGTAAGCATGTCAACCTACCTGTCCTCCCAGTTTTAGGGCTCAAGCTTGTTTTTGTGTTTGTTTTGTTTTTATTTTTCAACCTGTCTGGTGCCCTCTCAGGGTTGTGCGCCAGATGGGGACTGCCACGCTCCTGCGGGTTCTGTTGCCCACGAGGGCAATGCCCCGGCATTCCGGTCCGCCGTTGAGCCTCGGAATCCGGCTGCAGCCATAGAGGCAACGGGGAACTCTTGGGTGGGTTCGACCAATGCTGTCGTCGGAACTCGGGTGGACTCCTTGGTCTCACTCACCGACATATCTCTCACGTGGCTCCTTCTCGACCCGGCTGCCTCCATAGATGTCGAGAACAAGTTACTTGAATCTGCAACGCTACTCTTAGCTGCTTGGTCCTACCCTCACCGCTGGGTTGGGGACAGAAGGCTGATTGGGCGGCAATCCTGAAGCACAAACGGATAGGACACTACGGGGGCGGAAATCGGCAAACCGTGGCGACATACTCAACGGCCCTCCCATGGCTACTAGGAGAGACACGATCTATGTTCGCCCTCAGCCACCTCGACACACGACGATAGAGGCACAGCAAGATGGCCAAGGACGTGTCTCCGAGAGCGTTTCTCTCCTGTTGTCGTGCTCGCCCCTATCGTACCATCTGCGCCCGGCCGCCGGGTCGTGAGGCAGCAGACTCATTTGTCCGGACCCCTGCTGCATACCCGCTTGAGTCTCCGGCTACGCAGCAACACATCGTCTTCCGATGGGCCGGCGTTCCTCCGATCTACCCGTCCCACTTGACGAACATTCCCGCCCATGCAAATTATGTCATGCGGCAGTTCGTCGGTTCGTCAGTTCGTTTGTTCGTCTGTTCGTCCTTGAGTCTTTCTTTCAACCCCTGGCTTGTGTTTGGCACCCACGCCCGCTTCCGGGCTCCACAAGCTTGGGTAGACCGCTGGCGGCTCACCTCCTGGCCACCTCGCACAAGTGCCAGTCCCTAGCCAAGTATAAAAACGCAAGTCTTGTGATACTTGCCGTCTCCTTCGTACCCCTTGGTGCCCGACCAGCACCTCGAACACATCAGCCGAGCATGCGCTGGCGCAAGCCTCTTCCCGAAAAGTGTTGATACCACCCCTTGCCAACGCCTTAAGTGATCCGTTGGTCACCAATTCTATCTTCCTCTTCTTCTTCCTCAACTCCCCTTCAGATCTATTCACCTGCCTCTACCCCTTCAGATCCATCTGCCTGCTTCTACCGCTACCACCTCCTGTACATATTGATATTACATTGACATCGCCATCACTCACAAACATCATGTCGTCTTCATCACGCAAAGCTCACTTCATGCACACCAACGCCGTTTACTGGCCCAACTTCCGCGTCTACAATGGGGACACACCGGGTCAGCTGAACTATGGCTGTATCAACCGCGTTCACTACGCCTTCGCCAATGTGACGGCCGATGGGGGCGTATTTGTAAGTTCGATCAAACGTCTACGGGTTGTGCGCGCGCTTTGCTCACCCTGAAGCCAGCTCAGTGACGAGTGGGCCGACGCTCGGGCACCCTGTGATGGTGTCCAGGGCGCCTTGGGGTCATTTATGCATCTCAAGCAGAGATACCGCCATCTACAAGTCGTCCTCTCGATTGGGGGCGGCGACTCGGCCGAGACTTTTCCCATCGTAGCATCTAGTGCCGTCCTCCGAGACAACTTTGCTCGCTCAGCGCGAGGCCTTGTCGAAGCCTCGGGCCTCGACGGCATCGACAGTAAGTTTGAAATCTCCAAGACACTCATCTTTCCGAAGTCCACGTTGTTAATCGATTCAGTTGTCTGGGAGTACCCGTGCACCCCGGAACAGGGGAGGGACTTCCTCGCGCTGGTCGCGGCGATCCGCATCCACCTTCCCGAAGACCGCTACCTGCTCACTGCCACTCTCCCGGCCGTGAAGCCGGTCCTCCAGAACATCGACCTCCGCCAAACCGCCGAGTACCTCGACACGCTCAACCTGACGGCCTACGACTTCTTCGGTCACTGGACCCACAAGAGCGGCCACCACGCACAACTATACGCGATGAACAAGGACGAGCCGTCGGGAGCCGCGGGGGTGAAGGACCTCATGTCCTCCGGCGTACCAGGGAAGAAGATCCTGTTGGGAATCCCACTTTTCGGCCGCAGCTTCCTTGGCGTCGCCGGGCCGGGCCACAAGAACCGGGGTGCCGGCGGCAAGGACGGGTCCTTTGAGTACAACCAACTACCACGCAAAGGGACCAAGGAGCAGGTCGACAAGCGGGCTGTGGCGGCCCAGTGTGTGGGTGCTGACGGCGGGTTCGTCACGTACGACAACCCCGACACTGTTAAAATGAAAGCGACCTTTTGCAAACAGAAGGGGCTCGGGGTACGTCGCTTAGCTTTTCTCAGGATCCCTTCTCAACTTGACTTTTGAGGATCATGCTAACCGCGCTTGTGGCTTAGGGGCTCTTCTACTGGAGCGCGCCGTGCGATGCGAAAGACTCTAAACGGAGTCTCATCGCAACGGGCTTTAAGGCTCTGCACAGCTCTTGATGTGCTTCGACCATGTCTTTTTTCTTGTTCTTTTATTCATCCCCCTGTACTCGAGCGGAAAAGGGCTTGAAATGTGTAACGATGAAATGGAGTGACGACGAAACGAACTTACGGCACATGGTGTTTGGAATAGGTTACCAAAAAGGTTTTGGGGGTAGGGTTTAGATGGGTTCTCTTTTCTCTTTTCTCTTTTCATCTTCTTTTTACTACCATCTTGGCTCCATTCTTTTACTCTTCCCTTTGTTACCGGACTCGAATAGATGGTGGCACAAGCAGGGCGGTATGTCACGGATAGGAGTACTTGGGGGATTGGTATCGAGACAGGACAGCTAGAACAGGCGAAAGACAGTGTCACGAATACTTAGACGTTAGGCTCGCATCATCGAACCCAGGGGGTTGTCTCCATGGCGAACATTCGTCCCCTTCATTCCCGCCGGGCCGGGTATCGGTGACGTGGTTTCCCACTCTGCAGGCCTCTCTCGTGTGTTTCCACGGTCCGGGAAACTAGCTAGGAAGTTCCCCGTCGGGCAAGTAACTCGTCCGGCAGACGAGCCTGGCTGGCGGCTACTACAGGGAGGCGGCCCCCCTTTGGAGTCGCACAGACCTGATGCCGTACGCCCAACGGGGACGGAGCGGGAGCCAACGAGACAGGTCGACGGACTGACTGACTGGCCGTGAGGGAGGGCAGCACTGCGATCCTAGCGTGAGACACGGGTTCGGCAGGCCTGCTCTTGTTGGCTGGCTGGCTTCCACCGCTCCTGCTAATCCTAGCTTTGGGAAGGTTGCCCGGTTGGATGCAAGTAACTCGTTCCCGCCAGCTGGGAGCCTGGCTGTACGGATGTACTACAGTATGGGTGGGTGCCCAAGGGGAAAAAACAGAGCTGAGAAGGGAATGGGAGCACGCCCGGCTTTGACGCAGCCGGCTCGGGTGAGCGAGGTGTACGGACGGCCAGACTGGACGCAAAGCAAAGTAGGGCAAGCACAGAGATCGGATCGGGAGATGCAGGTTGGCATTGAATCGCGCCAGGCGGCCGGGTCTGGGGGCATGCCACGTCTGCCATTCTCCGTCTTTTGGATCTATGTATGCCTGGCGGCACGGCGCCGTACCCACTCACTGAGTGGCTGGATGTATGGATGGTTTTTTCTTTTTTTGTTTGGGTTTCCAAAAAAAAAAAAAAAACAAGAAAGTGTCGTCACTTGTTGTCACGTCACAATGTGAGCGCGCCGGCTTCGGGCGAGCCGGATCGTGTGAAAGACGGAAAGGGGTAACGGGGGCGGGCCGGACTTGGGGTCGCGAAGCAAAGTAGGGGCACGGTTACAGGAGATCGGAGATGGGGGAGGTGGGCATGGAAATCGCGGCAGGCGACCGGGTCTGGGGGCATGCCACGTCTCTCAGTCTCTCTCTTTTTCTCTCTCTCTGCCTTGCGGCACGGTGCCGAGCCATTAATAATAAGTGATGTCTGATGGTTTTTTTTTTTTTTGTTTGGGTTTCGAAAAAAAAAAAAAAAATAAGAAAGTGTCGTCACTTGTTGTCACGTCACGATGTAGGGCGCCGTCTGCGGGCGAGAGGGAGCCTGTGAAAGACGGAAAGGGGAAAGGGGGGCGGGCCGGATTTGGGGTTGGGCTGAAATGCAGTCGGACGGTTACAGGAGATCGGAGTGGGGGAGGTGGGGAGGGAATGAATGGGACTGTGGTGAAGAGTGATGGGGGCTTCTTC